CTTTTTGAACATTTCGAGAGCATATGTTTGAACATTTAGAGTGCATATGAACATATATTTACGAAAGGTCGCCTCCGAGGGGATAAATCACCATGTCGAACATTGCATTTTTGTTCCTGCCTCTCGCGTTCTCTTCTCTTCCCGCTGTCCTACCTTTCGTGTCTCCCTCCTCTCAAGTGAACATTTCTGTCTGGCAGCCAAGACGGCAACAAAGGGTGTGCGCATCCACCTTGGATGTCAGCAGATCCTGGTAGGAGGCAACCAAGTGCTGAGGTTTCCAGAGGTGCGGCTATAGCTGCTATGGACCGGTCATGACGGCTAATGTGGTATCGCTATATGAGCAGGTATCATACAAATCACGTCTTGAAAACTGTGAGAACGTAGAGAGTAAATTGAGTAAATTCCTCTTCCTCAACGAGGTTGTTCAAGCGACCCTGGAACAAGAGCCTCTCCAGGATCTTTCTGAGGCGAAGCTGTGGTGAGTAAGTTGTTCGCCTCAACGAACTGAACAAAGTAGGTGACCCATTTCGAGGACGTGACCCATTTTTTAGATAGGCTTCGCAAAGCTTTGTGGAGAGGCTCCTCTGCGGCGGATACGCAGGTTCTGCCATGAGAAGATTCAGAAGCCACTAGAGGCAGCCTGAGATGTGCAATGACGGATTGGCCAATCGGCGTGGGTTTTCCTTGGCTGCAAGAGACGTTTGTATGTCCAGCGCCGTGAGGATTGCGCTTCGGTGCAAGTGGTGGGTTGCGCGGCGGTGGGGCTGTGACGACTTGGCTTTGCGCGCGCTTTCCGGCTAACGATGAGTCGTAGTCGTAGTAGAAAAGGGATTGCTACATCTGGGATGTTCATTGGTAGGTCTTGACGCTGGAACCCAGACGTGGCAGGAATCTTGGCAGCCTGTTGTATCGACTTTGGGCGGCAGTCGACTTTAGTTGCAGAAACCACAAGGTTCAACGTTTTGGAGGATATACAATCAAGAGTCAAGCTATCGTAAACGCTCAGTGCAAATGGCAGTACTGGGTAATAATGCTACTGATGGCGTCTGGCGTTGTCCCAGTTGGGGCACTTACGCCCAAGTCACGAAAGGTAGCTTGAGCTACCTGAGTTCTCCTTGCTTTAGCAAAAATGTATTGTAATCTGGTGTTGGGATTGTGCATTGAGTTTGGTCCTGTAAGTAATGATTCTGTTCGTGGGGGGCCCCCCCCGGGATCATTCCCCCCCTGCGCCGGGTCACATCCATCTACCTTTGACGCCGTCATGGACTTCTACCAAGGCTACTTGTGATTGCCTGCTACCTTTCGTTCACCCCTCCTCTCTCAAGTGCGTGTAATGCGCGTATACCGTATACATGCCCTGCCGGCCCTTCCTCGTGTGGTTTATCAGCTTTTGAGATATGCTCGCAACAGCAATTCAACCACCTTCAACAAATCAGCGTTGAGGATGTTTGCGAGGAACTCAGGACATGTTTTGGCTAGCGACCACGCACTTCGGAAGGCTTGGTTCATCTACAGAGGTCGTTTTTCCTGCGACGTGGACATGGAGAAAGTGTTCCTTCTTTTGTTCACAATGTCTGTTTGGCAGAAGCGAGGGTTTCATAGCTTCATTGCATGGCTGACCTGAAACCCTTCAAACTACCAAGTGTCAGTGAACTCTAATGATCTGCAGTTGGATTGCAGTGCAGACGTCTAAAGGACAACTTTTTATCCAAGGGCTTCATCCCATCGCTGGCTTTTTCTGCCATCTGACCGCATTATGGTGGACCGTGAAAACCGCGCCCTCTTTGTGCTTCGTGGTGCGATGGTGTCACACTGTAGTCCTGCTCCGAAACTTGGAAAAAGGTTGGTCGCAGTGGTGGAAAGCTCATGGGATTTGATCCTCCATTCATTCCCCGACCAGCAGGTTATTGAAAGTGTGAAGCAAGTTGAGCAGGTAACTTGAGGGGTCATAGCACCTTCAAAAATAGGGCAGCTCACGAACCAGCGGTTAATTTTAGTTGATTGCGCCCACATGTATGGGGCAAAAACCGGGACCTTTAACAGAGTTCTGAAGGTCATCAAATTACATCATGTTGAACTCTTGAAGCCAGGCAAAACCTGGCTTTGGACGAGCAGAAAAAACTGACTGAACTGACAGAAGAGGAGGCCTGGTCGGCTAGTTTGGAGGGCCAAGACGCATGGTGCGCGCCAGGATTTTAAAGATTGACTCTAAAGCAGCTGATGCTCCAACTGCCAATGATGCCAGTGGTTTGCAATCCCGTGTCTCCAATGGAGGACCGCCGCATCGCGTGCCTTGAGAGTAGGGCGGCCAAGTGGCACGACTTGCTGAGCGACGCCATCAACGAGCCGGGGCCTTGTGGAGCGCTTGCACAAAGGACGGAGGACCGGAGGACTAAAAAACCGTTGTAACGGGGTTGGGCAGACTTCAAAGTAGTGCCAAGTGCTAGCTATATACGTAGTACGGAGAGCCAAGTTCTTCCAGAACTCTTTCTTCCCGAGGTCAGGAGAAACTGAAGATCGATATCTGAACGAAACGGTTCCCGCATTTCGACAGGTTGCATTTGCTCCTTCCCGTCTAACCTGCCAAGGTGAAGGTGTAGGCTGCTGTTTGTTTTATTAGACTCTAAGATGAAGGTTTGCCTTCTGTAGACATCGACATTACAGTACAGGTCTGGAGGATCTTGGACTTTGTTTCTTTTGCGTAGTAGTTCTGAGCTTGTGGACCTTTGCATGAATTTTTCCAGCATACAGCAGGAACATGTGGTGGAGTTGCCCAATTTTTTTCGGTTTCTGTCAAAGAATTGTAGTAAATATGGCCCTTCCAATCTTCTAGTTTTCAAGAGCAACATCTATGGTTCCCCAGTTTCTCACCAAGGTGTTTCAGTGAACCCCAGGTGCACCACCTTGTCCAAGGACCATCCAGCATCTGCAGAAAAAGCAGAGTCAGACAGTTGAGGCACAGATGGGGCTTCCGACAGTCTCAATTTTTGTATATGTGTTTTCCCCAAACAGTTTACTGTTAGGGGTTCTCAATTCTTTCTTAAGATGTGTCCGCCCTTTGTGTCACTGCTGGTGTCCGCCCTTTTCTGCTGGCCATGTAGCATTTCTATTCATTTGTCTTCCAGGTCTGTCACTGCTGGTGTCCGCCCTTTTCCGCTGGCCATGTAGCATTTCTATTCATTTAACTCCCGGGTCTGTCGCTGCTGGTGTCCGCCCTTTTCCGTTGGCGATGCACCATTTCTATTCATTTGTCTCCCAGGTCCCTTTTTTGCTGGCCATGTAGCATTTTTCTATTCATTTGTCTCCCAGGTCTGTCACTCGTGGTGTCCGCCCTTTCCCGCTGGCCATGTAGCATTTCTATTCGTTGGCCATGTAGCATTTCTATTCATTTGTCTCCCACGTCTGTCGCTGCTGGTGTCTGCCCTTTTCCGTTGGCCATGTAGCATTTCTATTCATTTGTCTCCCAGGTCTGTCACTGCTGCTTTCTGTCTCCCTTTGTCTCCGGTCTTGTCTGCCTTCTTGGTGGTCACTGTGTCCGTCTTGTCTCCCTTCTGTGTCCTTTTGTGTGCCTTCTTGTCTCCCTTCTTGTTGGTCACTGTGTCCGACTTGTCTCCCTTCTGTCTCCCTTTGTCTCCGGTCTTGTTTCCCTTTGTTGGTCATTGTGTCCGCCTTTTCTCCCTTATGTCTCACTTAGTCTCCGGTCTTGTCTCCCTTCTTGCTGGCCTTCTTGTCTCCCTACTTGTTGGCCATTGTGTCCGTCTTGTCTCCCTTCTGTTTCCTTTTGTCTCCCTTCTTGTTGATGTCTCAAAAAGTGGACTTGGGAATGCTTCGTTGTTGTCCCGCCTGTTTGGGCTCTACGGTGGTGTAATTGGCAGGTTCCTGATGGACCAGCAAAGATAGAGGTGATTCCTGATGTTTACTAGAATTTGATTACTTTGCCAAACGGTGAGACTTTTTAGATTGGACCTCAAGACTCAAGATCTCATATTATTTTCATTTTTGAAGTGAGGGCGAAGAGCTTCAGAGACAAGCCCTGCACGGCCCTGCCCCTAGGACAAATGCTACCTAGGCCATTCTGCAGAATGTGTGTCCTTAAAACCTGGAGGCACCACACACGCACACCCGCCCGGAAAACGAAAAATGTTATGAGATTCTTGTGGGTGCCCAACTTATCATGCGTAATATATGCCGGGGTGTGAGAGACACCACGGATGAAGAAGTGGTGGCTTGGTTCGTGGGACATGTTCGCAATGTAATCGAGTCGGACGTTCATGGCTGGCCCTGGCCTGCTTTTGAGTGGGTCTTCTTGGTCCCACCAGCGCAGGAGATGGAGGCGGAGAAGGATGAATCCGAGGATGAAGACATGGAGGATGATGGGGCCGATGTGGCTTGGCTGGAACAGTAGCAGAGCATCAGCGGTTTACATAAATGGAGTGATGAATTGGTGAGATGGAGTTGCCAAGCTTATTTGCTCAAGGCCTCCAGCCTTTCTCTTGTTGTTTCTGGACTCCTTTGCTATTATCTTTTTTTGTCTTGCATTTTGTGTTGCTTGGCTGCGATATCTGAACCTCAGACTGCTAACTTTTGCAGATGCATATTGGACTTGGACATCAAACACGGAGGATTTTACTTAGTCTCATGAAAAACATTCCACCCAGCAAACCGGCTTTGCCTCGATCCATCAGATGGGCTCCAACAATGGTGACGACGAGGAACACAGTGATGGGATTTGGAGGGGAATTCGATCAGATGGGCATGGGTGAAGACATTGATGACGGAGTGAAACCGTTCCGACATTTTTGGAGCGCGTTTTGCGGGGAAGATCATTCTTATGAAAAAACTATTTAATATACAATATATAGTCTGGAATTTGCGTTCGCTTTCAATCTACCATTGCAACCCCTCGTTATGGTTGCCAAGCATTTCTTGTTGATCCACTGCATCGAAAGAGGGACTACATGTATACTGTATATGTATCTCGTTACCATGCAAGTTGATAGAAGGTCCATTTAATCCCTCGACTTTTGTTCTTCCACGACAGATCAGCCTAGACCGTGCTGAAACTTGCATGGAGCGGAGGTTCAATGCTGACTTGCAATCTCGCTTCTGCCTTTGTTTGGATTGGAGGAACAGATGGACAGAGATATAGCGCATCTCTTTGGCTTAGGCCAATTCTTATTCATGTCCTTTTGCATCCATGCTGATGTTTAGCGCTGAGATGTAGAATGGGGCTGAGACGTTCTGGCTCCTTTGGGTCCGGAACCAGGGTGCGCCGGCCAGGACCGTCCCATCTACAATCCCTTGAACCTGCCTTTAGGCAGGGCCGACTCAGCTGCTGGTGTGAGGCCCACCATTTTCTCAGGGCTGATGAGGATATGATATGTCGCCCGATTTTGGTGCAGGCTGGGATGGAAAGCCTATTCCGTTTTGGCTTTACAAGCTCCACGGCATGGGCCACTTGTCTAAATGGCAGATCGGTGTGTGTGGCAGATGGCATTTGTGTTTGTCAGGGATGAAAGGTGTGCGGACATGAGCATATCCTTTCCCGAAGATTCGTTCTAAAAGCTAAACGGCTTGCATAGTTAGCTACCACCCACGCTTCACCACACACGCTTCTTGCAGCACTTTGTGAAAAGAACATACAGTACTGTAGAAAACAGGCATCTCATGAGGCAGGTCTGTATTCTGTTGGGTTGGAGCGATTCATTGAGCCGAGGCATCGAGTACAAGTGCGAAATTTGCTAGGGGCCGAGGAAACAGAGGTTGTGCTTTTTGGGAGGGTGCAGGACGTCTGTGGCGAAGGAACGTGCACTTTCTGGACATCAACAGCTTTCGTGCCGGAAAACATACTCAGAGGCTACTCCAAATAGATAGGACCTATTCAGCTATCATCCTGGCGCAGGGTGGCGCTGTAGGATTGGCCCCTTTAGTGCAAAAGCCAGCGGATGGGTAGGCTTAATTTAGTTTCTGCGAACGAAGTGAGTTCAGGGCCCGCAGGAGCAAAGTTTATATTTGTGGTGGAAGCTACTTTTGGTGAGTTGGTGATGCAAAAGATGCACCATAATTTGGTGACATCACCTACACCATGAAGATCATTTTGGACCTAGAAGGAATTGCTGGTTGACCAAACGGCAGGACAGAAGACTTCCGAACTATAACACCTCGGGAGACAGGGTGCCGGTGCTGTGAGCTGGCTGTGTGCGGGTGGAAACAGGGTGCTGGTGCTGGGTGCTGGCGGAGACAGGGTGCTGGTGCTGGCTGTGCGCGTGGTGGAGACAGGGTGCTTGGAAAAAGCTGGCGAACTGCGGGGCAGTTGAGTTTTGGAGCCAACATGGTTGCACATGCTCTCGGCTCTCATTCCAAAGCTGTGGATGTGGTTGATGGAGCTTTGCGTGAAAATCCGCATGCCTTAGTGCCTGAAGATGATGTAACTTTAGAGTTTGACAACATGTTGTTTTGGAAGCGGATGTCGAAGGCGCGCCGCTATTTGAAAGTGTGTCATGCTGGCTGGGTGGGTTGCCAGTGCTGTTGGTGCTGGGTAGCCTTTTGGCATCCTGGTTTAGAAGGCTTTCGGTAGCCAAACGTTCTCAGTGACGTTGCTTTTGGACTTTCTTCCCTCATGACTGAGACCAGATTCACAAACCATGTTATGAGTCGAAGTACAGCATCCCATGGATGGCACACGCTCTTTGCACATTTTTCCTCTAAGTGTAAAAAAGTTTCCTGTGTGTGCTTTGGAGCTGCTGCCGATGCAGGGCGCAGTCCAGAAAAATATTTTGCATGTTTTTGCTACCTGGGGTCTATGCTGGTGTAATTGTTCTCAATCTGATATACCACGCCCCACATCATGCCGGTGGCTTCTTCACTTCCTAGTGGTTCATGCGACCACTTTTCCCGACCAAACTTTCCAAAAATCAAATACAGACCTTGTTTTCACGGCCACAGGCTGTCCGGGGACGATGAAATGGAAAGTCATCCCGGTTTTTCCCGCAACCCCATGGAATGCACATTCCTTCCGTCCTGGTCTTTACTGGCCTTCGGATCCCCTTCGGTTGAGCACAACCTGAGGTGGTAACTATTCCTATTGGGGTCGTCGGGCCTTCGAGAGGCACTTCCAGGTGTGGTTGCTCAGACTGGCTGCCTGTGTGGAATGATGCAGAGGCTTTCACTAGAAAAAGCAGAAAGGAACACAGGAAGGTACAGTAAGGCTAACCCTTTTTTTTGGCATACTCCGGGGTGGGAGTAGATGGCGAAAGTTTTCTTTTTGAGCCATCTTTATTTTACCACACTACCTCCGATTGCGCCTTCTATGACCCATTTTTGGCAGCGTGTCTTGCAAGCCGCTCTCGCTATATTTGCGGCCAGAAAAGGCTGAATTGCGCAATCAATAGGTTATTTTGGCGTTCAGGTGGAGCACACCTGGCGCAATCTACCTTTAGGCCGTTAACCACTGGTCATTGGACAAATTGTGCCATCCTTTTCCCCGGCGGTGTATGTTTTTTCTTTATCTTCATTTTGTTCAAACTATTTTTTTGACCCATTTTGATCGCCGACAATGTCTCGAGTATCCACAATCCTCATTGTCGTCGCCCAAATGCCTTTCGGGTGTGCTCCACAATCTGGACGGTGAAATGTGCCCTTTTGTATCTCGTTTATCCGTTCAGGAGTGGAGACACGCCTTCGGCATGCGATGTCTCAAGATTCCCAACACGGCACACTTCAAGGAAATCACCAAGATTGAGGTGCGCTGGGATCCGCAGTGATGGAAACTGTGGGCAGGGATCCGAAAATGATGAGAGCACGATGGACTTCTAAAACATTGCTTACGGTGCCAGGTGCCAGAGGTTTAACTTGGGGTTTGGCAAGTTGTGATCGTCAAAATCCCCATAGAGAGGGTGCTAGAACCGTCAAGAGTCAAGCGCATTCCTATCATGAATTTGTGTTCTTATCATTTGCCTTTCCCTTTGGACGCAGTCTTGGTGCGGAAGGTTCCTTGCAACATCGCCAGGAAGCCATCACGCTCTACGAAAAGCTGAAGCGTGATGCAGAGGAACAGACCTTCCGGCCTGAGCAGGCCACTTGCGGTCACTTGCGAAGTGGAAGCACGGACGGTGGCTGAGCGACGATGCGTGATCGAATAGTGACGCCTCACTTATTTTAAAGATTCTTAAAAGATTGGGTTGGAATGTGACTAGAACCTCATATTGGTGCCAATAGTGGAGACACTATGCTTTTAATAGGCGCCGCATTATTTGGCAACAAAACTGCTTTTTAGGGAGAGTTGTGTAACCTATTATAGCAAAGATTCGGCCCAGAAGCCACTTGCTGCAGTAGCCTGAGGATGGATGAGCCAAACACATTTGTAAGGCAATTAGACAGTCCGAAACGAAGTTGCCAAAGGTATGCCCATCAGGGCAAAATCTGTCAAGACAGACATGGTGAGACATGGCTTGGCGGCTTTGCTTCGACATGGCCAGGATGTCGAGTGCGAGGACATCCAGGGCAATGTGATGAGCCAGAGGGCCTTTGAGGAGCGATGTGCTTTGCAGGTAGATTTTTCACATGCCAGTTTTATCAAGCATCACCTGCTTCACCCTCTCTGACGGTTGGATGAGAGCGCTTGGCGATCACTATCTCTAGACTTGTCTGTACTTGTCTAGACTCTACCTGTTTTTTTACGTCGCATGTCCAATTGAGCATTTCTTCTCCTTCAGCCACTGAGCCGGACCCAAGAAGTTGGATCAGGACTTGCGGCGGCAGGGCCTGATCTAATGTGTGGCACTCTGTTTGGGGCCATCCATGGCCAGGGCGCAGCAGACAATCCCTCAATCTTGACCCTACTTGCTATTCAGCCGACATATCAAAAATTGAGACTGCAAGTTTTGCTAATCTGGGCCACTCTTCAGCTTTGTGACGGAGGGATTTGTGATTAGACACATGACTCTCAAAGGTTTCCAGAGGCATCGGAAGCTTGAGGTATTATAGAACTTACAATTTTTGGTCCATATGTCACATGGTTTTTAAGCGGTAAGGCAAGATCCTGATTGTCTGAGCAGTATTTGGAGGCTTCTGTCATTTAGTCGGTCAGCATCAGGAGCCCGTGCCTTTCGGAACTGACATCTGCTCTTTTCTTGTTACGCGTGAAAAGGATTGTCGCCTCAGAGTGAGTGCATGCCACAAGTTATGCTGCCACTTGCTTCGATCATTGCTTGAGAGCAGTTGCTCCCAAGGTGCGCTGGGGCATCCGTTATGGGCCACTACCCAGACCGAAGTGCTATGCTGCTGGCGACCCAAAACAGATGGGCGAAGAGAATCAGCTTGGCACTTCCAAAGCTCGTGATTTTTATCAGATTAAATACACACATCATATCTAGCTTGACTGGCTCCAAACGCTAGTCTCAAGCCTTCTTGACGTTCCTTCCCCTCAAAAACATTGACCCTCTTCATCCTTTTCGCCTCTCAGCTTGCCTACCCACTGCACAATGTATGTCAAGCCAATAGCTTTGGCTCAAGCCAATAACTGGGGCTGATCGCACCAAGCCACTACCAAGCCTGTGCACGGAGTCCCCACATGAGTCGCTAATGAGGCTGTATGGCTCGATACGCCCAGGGCATCCTGGGGCCTTGGAGACATGCGAGCCCTCAGAAGTCTTGAGCCTTGAATTATTGAGATGTGTCTCTTGGAAGTCATATAAATGAGTTTCTTCAAGGCAAGCTTTTCAATTAAAAAATAAAGAACACACAGAAAGGAAAAGAAGAAGGTAAGGATCCCTTAACAACAAGGGGGTACTTACATTCTTATTTCGTTTCTTTAAAGATCGCAAGGTGGTTTTCAAAGCACATCGAAGCACCCAATGTGGTTGAAAGCCACACAGTGCCCAAACAACTTGCCACAACCTGCCCGGCCGCGCTCCCGGTCCTAGCCTGCTTATGGAGCTGGAATGCCTGGTGGAGAGCTGGAGACGTTGACAGATGGGAGATGAACTGAGAGGAACAAAATCACACCTCTGATTCTTGTTGTCAATTTTGGACTGATCCCGATCTTGCAGCAGCGAGGCGTTTCCTGCGTCTATCCAAATTGACCCTAAGCCTGTAATTGATCAAGCAAGGGCGGCCTTAGTTTTGGAAGCTGTGATCATGCAGCAAGACTGATTTGTGAATGTTCAGGTCCCTGTGCTCAATTGTCAAACCATGACCATCAATGTCCAAGGGTGACAGCCTTTCATTGCACTTGTTGAGTAACTTCGTTTGGGTGGTTGGTTCCAGATGTGAGCTGGGACCGCATTGATTTCCAATCTCTTAAGGCCTGTGGCTGTGGTACCTTGGCTGGGTTGGAGCTGTGCAAGCCTTTGTGAGATCTTTGTGGCAGTCCTCAAAGTTTCTCCCAAGAGGTTCGTCTAGAAAATCCCAAGAGCTTGGCTTTGAAATAGCTTGTATTCCAGGCTTAGGGTTGGTTCATTTGGGTACGAAATCACAGACGAACAAGAGCTTACTTGCACACACTATGCATGATTTGTGCGGTTTCCCCCAACTCTTTGATACGAATGGTTGGTGACTTGCGAGAGCTGTTTGTACGACTACAGAAGTCAGGAACCGATGGCCAGGGTGGGCCTCGACCTGAACCAGGACGGCCTGGAAGCTCAGTGTGAACCAGATGACCGCGGCTACCCCCATGCCAAATGCCAAATACCCAAAATCGATTGCACAATGCGTTGACAAAGAACCACATGATGGAGCACATAGAAAAGAAACAACAACTTGTCAATTTTACTTCCTCTCTCAGATGCTAAGGGCTTGTCGAGAATCAAGATTCCATGAGCCTGGTCCATCGTTTGCATCGTCCTTGTCTAGGATTTAAACATGTAATGTGGATGATTCGATATGAGCATCCCTCGCATCAGCAGTTTAGTGATGCCAATGTTCTTTGCATTGCAGCTGGGCCTGCGTCTCAGTAATCACTGCCCATTCTTTGGCAGGGGGAGCGCAGGGTGTTCTGGGTGAATTGGAACGACGAAAAGGAAAAAAGGTGGACTTGGGCCCCTTTAACAAGGCTGGTCTCGAAGGCCCTAGTAAAGCAAGCCCACCTTGTTGTTTTCCTGGACCTCAAGCCGCGAGGTCAAGCAGATGTCTATGTTGAGGGCGTGGACAGGAACCGGGATGGCATCCCCGACATCCTGCAGCAGGAGTGCTGCAATGCTGGCGGGGGGAAAAGGCTTGTAGTTGTGTAGGTGGGTTTTGTAGATGTCTTCACCTGTATCTCAATACCTGAATCTCTACACCTGTATCTCAACACATGTATCTCAACCCTTGTATCTCAACACCCGTTTTCCACACCTGTATCCCAAGATCTGTATCTCAAGACCTGCCTGTACCCAAACACCAGTATCTATGCAGGTGTGTTCTAGCAGGTGCATCTCCGGCATCTGTGCACCTGTATGATGGTGATAGTGATGGTGATGCTGCTGATGTTGTTGTTGTTGTTGATGATGATGATGATGATGATGATAAGGGCTATGAGTGCTCAGGCCCACGCCCGTTTTGCCGAGGGCTAGTGCGCTCGCGTGTGATCACTCCCATGGGCAAGCAGAAGTCCCACACCTCGATCACTGTGAGCACCGATTACCGGCACTACACCAGTCTACGTGCAGATCCAGCTCGATTACCTAATTTCTTGCGCTTTTTGCCGACCATCACGCACTTCCCGGTCAATTCCCTGACCCTCCTTCTGCAGATCTACAACTACCAGGACGGAACTTCTACCTTCAAGCAACGTGCCAGGGCATCGAAGCTGAGCTCTTCATGTTTGAGGCCACGCACGAGCACTCACCAGGGTCCCAACTCCCTGGCCACTCAGGTTTGGGATTTGCTCGACATCATGAGAGCCTCAGCACCTGGGTGGAAGGCCAAGGGTGTCAGCTTGGCCACACAAGCTGAAGGAGTCCAGCTGACTTCAATCACCCCTTCACCACAGAGGACGAAGCCTTGTGGCAATGGACCACACAACTCCTACTCCAGCACTATGGCAAATTAGTTTCTTGGCCGGAAAAAAGCCTTCCTGAAGGCAAAAAAAGGGCTATTCTTCATGGACACACCTGGTACAAGGGGAGACATTTCTCCCCACAAGAACTTGGAATCTTTACCCCACCGAATGAGCAGCAGCTAACACTGTTGAGGACTCCCAATTGTCCAAATCAGCCGCCACCCCCACCCTCAAAGGCACGACGCAACAGACTGACATGCGTGTCCTGGAACGTAGGAGCACTTGGCCTACACAAACTGGACATTCTCAGGAGTTGGCTTTGTCATCAACACATTGACATCATCTGTCTTCAGGACCCCCACTGGACCTTTGATGGTGAATGGCAAGACGATCAATACTTCTTTGTTCACCATGCGCAGGACAATCTGGCGGGTTGCTCACCATGGTCAAAAAAGACCCTTTGCTCGTCAGACAGATTGGCCTGGCGATCGCTCACTTCAGGCAGACTGATGCATATACGAATGTAACTCCAGCATACCAATCTCGACGTTGTCAATGCTTACCAGTATGTTTGGCGTGATCAGGGCCCAGATAATCTTGCCCGACGTCAGACCTTTTGGACTACCTTTTGGACTACCAAACAGAAATGTTCTGATCATGGCGGGGACTGGAACACAACGCTGCTACAACATGTTCCGCATTGCGTTGGCCGGTCAGATTTCCACACGGCTGCAGGACGGAAGACAGGCCCCTTGCGCAAGAAGATCTTTGAAGACCTGCTTCAACAACAGGGTTTAGAGGCCACCAATACGTGGGATACATACATGGGTCCTTGTGAAGCCAGGTCTCGCAGAAAATCCATCATCAAGTGCTTTGCTTTCGGGGTCCACAGAATCAACCATATGAGATTCCAATACAACAAAATAAAAAGTACTTGGGTGTTGGCGTCGCCTACAAAGCTTTGCGCAGAGCTACAATGACTGAAAGACTGCAACAATGTGCTATTCGGTTCAATCATATGGTTCAGAGGAAGTGTTCTTACCCAAACCTGTGCGCTGCAGTGGACATTGACATTACAGGTCTACACCGCTACAGCAGACAGATGCTCACGGCTCACGCAAAGATCATTCTTTTTTGACACACTTCACACACAGAGACCTTCTCCGCGCCAACCAGTGGACACGCCCGGTCAGCCGCCAATCGAGTGTTTGCCATTGAGGAGCAATTGCAGTCCCTTGAGTCCCTTGACGCTCATGACATTGTTCAGTACAACACACTTGACACCCTCCAACAGAATATACATGTCATCGACCACTGGCTGCGTCAGGACTCACAGATGACAGATGCAGGACTTCCCTCATCCATCCTGCATGAGGCCGGTCTTGACTGCAGTCGATGTGGGATGAGCTTTCAGCACCTGTACACACTTCGAAGACATGAGCTATATCAACGTGGGGTGGTGACCACACATCGATACAAACTGAACATTGCGCTTCGGCGCGTGGGCGTTCCATCTCATTCTCTTGGCGTTTATGAGAACGGACATGGGCCGCCAGACGTGGACAACTTGGCGGCCGGCTGGCGCTGCTGCAATCACCCACCTTTTGCTTCTGCTGCAAGTGGCTTCTGGGCGCCCAACGTGGAGCCCGCGTGCAGTCACCATGTGGGTACTGTGGCCAAGAGTTCAAATCCAAGACGCACACTTGTCCCCTCATGAAGTGCCCTGTCCTATCAATATTTGAAGATGCATCAGAAGCGCGCCGAAGCATGTTTGATTTGCCAGCAGCATGAAACTGCAGCCGTTGAATGCTGTGTCCTTCTCCAGCTCTCTACCGGGGCCCCAGCCAGGGAGTGGAGGTTGGTAATCCTTCTCCTTCTTCTTCTTCTTTCCTCTCACTGGTCTACATCCTGGACTACATGAGCCAGCTCACTCTGAAGCTCAACGTGCTGAGGTGAGGAACCACTGTGATCGTCTTCTTCTTGGTCTTCCTGGACCCAACGTCGTCATGTTGGCTGGTGACTGGAACACGGGTTGACTTTGTCCTAGTTCATGGACCATGTTCCAATTCTTTTCCACATCCCCTATACAAATTGAGGGCATGGGCTCAGCTCGGATGGAGGAGACAAGCCCACACACATTTGCTAGACAAGCCAGAAAAGCAAAGCTTCAAGACACAAGAGAGACAGAGCGCGTCATCATGGGGCGAAGAATGAAATACTTTTTCAAGGTGGTGAACAAATTGACTCCCGTCCTCCTTGACATCAACCTCAGACCAAAACTGGTTTGTCTTCAGAAGAGGAAATTCATGGATCTCGGACTATGTGGCTTCTCTCTATGCTGGGAAAGACCTTCAACTCCCGACCTTTCAACTCTCTTCACTTCCCTTTGAAGAGGTGGGCGTCATTCAAGAAATTCGAGGGCTATACCCATCAATCAGGTCTTGAACTTCTCGAATGTGAGGCTGAACACAACGAATGCTTCCCAGGTACCAGGCAGGTATGCAAACTGAGGGTACCAAACCAAAGCAGGCAAGGTGACCAATTTGGCTTGATGAACAAAAAGTGACATCACTGTCGGAGTGCTCTACACTGGGTCGAAGAGCTTTGGGTTCTACCGACGGTTTGGATGGTTTCGGGAAGAGTACCACCCAGCCTTTGCGCCATTCTTGAGGAATGGTGCCAGCGCTCATCCAGCATCAAAGCCGGTTGGTGAGAAGAGGCCCGTTGAACAGGCCAGGTCCTTCCAGCGCAAAGCTCCGCGCAACATGGTTGGGAACGACAGATGGAAGTATGATGCCAGGCAAAAGTGAAACCACCTGCTGACAGGAAACCAGCCATTTACAGAGGCTGCCAAATGTTCCTGGACCCCTCGGGAGCTTTTGACGCCTTCCCTAAGGAACATCTACAGCAGGCTTTCACCAGCGCGAACTTTCGCATGTTTTGTCAAGCTGGCGGGCCAATACTTCGTACGTGAAAGGATTCACTGCTGAACTAACCACTTACAAGGGAGTCCGGCAGGGTTGCGCAAGGGCCCTTCCTTTTTTTGCGAGTTTCATTGCTTTGATGCTGAGCCTGGCGGCCGAGAAGTTTTACGCAGATGATGGTCACGCGTACTTTGTTTTTCGTGACCTGGACTTCGACAAGGTCTTTGTTACTTTGGCAAAATTTTCCATTTTGGAACGGCTGGGCAGGTCAGTGGGCAAATCTGTCACCGTGGCTCAATGGCGTGGACTACAACAGACAGTCACAGGCCCTCAAGCTCTTTGTAAAAAAAGCTCTATCATTCTGTTTTGGGTATCCCCCCCTGACACCACCACGTACGAGATCCCATTCCCGAGAAGGACGAGTATTTTGGAGTTCATGTTGGGTGCAAGCACACCTTCGGAACACGATGCAGCGCAGATTGCTTGTCAATTTTGACGCAGGCAGAAGAAACCGTGGTTCAACAAAATTCTCCTCATGTGGGTCAGAAGCTGTCACCGTGGCATTTGTGTGTTTTCCCACAGCGTCATATGGAATGGAGCTCCGCCCATGTTCAATGTTCTTCAAAATTCTTTTTATCATTGATGAGACAAGTGGCTGGAGATCAATCGTTTTGGACTCATCACAAACCTTTTACATTTTGACTTTCGCTTGAGGCCTGTTCTCCTTCTCCGGGAGCGGTTGGCTGCCCAGTTGACAAGTCATGAGGCACGTTGTGCAGCACTTCGTCCACGAGATGTTGTCTTGTCATCGCGGCTAACAAGGGGCCTGATTTGACTTAGCTGGAGACGCTGCAGATGGCCGTTGATGTTGCGGAGAAACCTTCATTAGTTGGCAAAACGTTCGACGCCGCATACAGTCCTTAGCGCGCGCCACCTTTGATTAGTCTAAGGCTCCAGTATGCTATTTCCTGACATTCAACAGATGTCTCCGCGCGCGTGAAATGTGACCGCCCAGGATACTATTTGTGGCGTCACGAATGATGTGCTCCCCAATGTGGTGCGGGTTCGTACTCCTTCTCCTTGTGAAGTTTGTGGACAGGATTTCAAACCGCGCCGAAGCAGCTTGGCCTTGCGTTGGCCTACAGGAAATATCAGGAAAGATTTCCTTCGCGCCCACCTCCTGTTCCTCAACCACTTCAAAGGATGCGTGCTCAATGCTCACGCGCCCAACGTCAGGCCCCTAGGTCTTTGCTGAAGCTCTTCTACACCAGTCACGGATCGACCTGGACTTCCATTACTACAGGCTATGCTGAATGGCTTCACACCTCCAGCGCCCTGAGAAACACAGGCGCACCTGTCTTCGACCTGCTCAACAACCTCGTGTTTGCGCCGTCTTCTTTCAGCTGGCCTTGTTCGTTCACCATGACTTGAACAAGTTCGAGGACTCCTCTGAAGACCTGATCTTGGTGACGTGTAGGTTCTGAGTTCACCATGCTGACCAAGGACACTTCTCTCAACTCTTGCAAGATGACTGCACCTATACCTGGTGTTGCCTTTGCGGTCGGCAGTCTGATCCTCGTGACTTGTTTCAACGCCTGTGGAACCAGCGTGCCAAACACTGCAACCGGCGGAGCCTGTGTTACAAGTACCTCTCATTTCATGAGCAGAGGATCTCCACACGCTCCATTTGCAAACATCATCCGGCCGCAGCTCAGTGCCCAGTGCCCTTTTGGCTATCCTGCATCATGGCCATGGACAGCTCAACTCGGAAATTCGAGACTGCGCTCGTGTCGCCTGGACACCAAGGTCTGGTTGCCGCATCTCGGACACCGTGGATTTCGACAACGTCCCCATACACGGTCTGCCCTGCCTTATCGCCTGGCGAATGACGCCGCCTGTGGCCACGACTGAGGCGCTGAATCGATCACCAAGGCCGAGGATGAAAACACTCATCTCACCAAAGAGGCCATGATCAACAGCGTCATCAACAAACCTTCAAAGTTGCATGGAGACGCTTGCTGTCTGCCCTGGACACGCTCAAAGCCAAAAGCAAAATTCTTGGCGGGCTACCCTGATCTATGCCACAGACTGGCGAAAAAGTGTGTCGGCTGCGGAACCTGGCCTGGCAACATGATTCAACATCTTGAATCAGCGCACCGTGAACGGTGGGACGCTTCTGAAGCTAGCTGAGGCCTGCGTAGTTCGTTTTGTTTCGCTGGCTCATGGTGAGAACCAGGACAGTCGCAAGTGCCCTTGTTCGAGACAGTTTGCAACTCTTCGCCTGAAGCTGCGTTCCAATTGCCCCAACAAGTCTTGAGAAACCGCCCGAGCAAGGCTGTTGAATTTCGCTTTTGGCTAAAGGCCTCACGAGGCGCCGGGCGGACTTTCCACAGTGAGGTCCACGTTGGCATCGACCTGACTGACGCGCGTATAGAACAATAAGAAGAAGATGATGGTGATGGTGACGGTGATGGTGAACGTTGTGATCATGATGATGGTGATGATGACGATGATGGTTGTGATTGCGAGTGTGATTGACAAAGAACCCTTCGCAGGGGAACCCACTCGTTGCGGAACGCGTGAGGTTATATGGAAC